GGATTGACTTTCCTTCACATTTTACTGTTAGATACGAATGATAAAATATGAAAAGTTTTTGCTTAGAAGCTTACGTTCACATAAGCCTTTGCTTGCTTGTGAAGTTATGCGCAGATAAGTGATTAAAAGACGCATGTCAAATTATGATTTTTCTGCAAAGGGGGACGCAAGTCCGAATCCTGCCAAAAGTTTTCTCGAATAGGCAGGCTGCCAAACAAAATAAATACTGTTGAAAATAAGAAAACGGAGCATCTATTCAAGTAAGAGTATCCAGTAAGAATGAGGTTTGAAGTAACAGCTATGTCGGATTACAAAATAAAATCTATTATATATGAGACACAGGTAATATTTTAAACACTATTTAATCATTCCTTACCACATTTCCTTGTGTTCCATTAAGAGACCAATATACTGATGTATTCGGGGGTCTGTGCTGAGGATATAATCATACTTGGTATTAAAAAAAAATGATCTTGAACAGAAAAATCAACATCCGATACATAGTGTTCCAAGAAATATAACTGATTATAAAGCATTCCAAATCAAAGTATGATTCTGCACTTCGACGGTAGGCGGGATCATCGAGTCAATGCGAACGATACTAGAATGTGCTTCGCCAGAGCTACATACATATTTGAATTCTTTTTCCTAGACTAGCTTCTATAGCCTTGGGTTGCAACCACTCTGTCTTACTATTTACCTACAGTTATGGAGAGAAGAATCAGATTCATACCATTCCCAAATATATTAGCAGGTAAGTGAATGTAATTAACTTGACTATAAAAGAGAATTCATAAATATGTACCATTGTTAATATGATGGAAAGATGTTATATACTATCACAACTTTGTGATACATCAATATACAGAAAGATTTCCCATAGTGACGTAAAAATTTTAAAACTTAAATTTTAGATGATTGAAATGAATTTCATCACTACGGAAAAGTAGTGCCTCTTGAATATTTCTGAGGGGCATTCCTTCACTGCACTAGGCTGTGGAGGTTTCACTCAAGGTAGTTAATATTAGTAAAAAAATTCTTCCATACAGTTTGACTGACAGCGAAAGCCTATATTTTACTACCATTTTCTGATATTTGGACTAACACGCTAAGATATACGTCGCATTGAGCTGATTATTCTCATCGGAATAGATGAATTTATTGGTTATTGATAGATTTTCTTTACAGAAATAACGACTCGTCAATTTCTATATCCTCATCTCAACTTTGCGTATATCTTAATTAACTCACAACAGAAAAATCGAAGATAATCACGGCACAATGATTATTGTGTAGGCCAGTCATTCGAAGCCTAGGCCAGGACGAGATTATCTGCTACAATTAAGATAGGAGAATTATACTTATTGTTTATTAATCCTCCTATTTTGATTTAATGTTTGATGAACATATTGTTCATTGTGTTTTGTTCGTCATTTCTTCACGGTTCTGATACTCCAGTCTTAATTTTTCCGCTTTTGCGAAGTTGATCGCTAGAAAAAGCTTCCTTTCACCTTCCCTTCTGTCTAGCATAATAATGTTAGACGGACGTTTAGGCCGGAAGAATAGCTGAAAAGGTAAAGAACATATCAAGCTAATTTTCTGCTAGCTTGAGAGAATCAAATTTTGAGAGAAATAATGAAGCATTTATCTACAATTATCTTTTGGCTTATATCAGCCGATTTAGAGCAATCGTAAAGTATTAGGACTGGTACTGAGAAAGAAAGCGTCTATGTGGAAATTGTCTAAGTAAAAAAAAAAGACCAATATTGTTTCAGTAAAAACAGTGTTTTTAATAATTTCTAATAATTGTTATAGAGTTCAATAACTGATTAAAAACTACAGAAATACATTTTTTTTTTAAAGTCGTGCCAAATTGTGTTGTATATATCAAAATCAGGTCGCTTTCGTTTGTGTGCGTATATTATATTATCGATAATTATATATATATATATATATATATATATATATATATATATATATATAGTAACTGAAGGCTTATGATTTGAATATGGATGAGAATCTTACAATTACAGGATAAGGAACAAATATGAAACGTTTATAAATTTATATTGTTTTGCTTTTATATAAACTTCATCAGAAAATATATGGAGGAGAAAAGAGAACTGTTACTTTTTATTTTTGTCTTTGTTTTTCCTTGCTTAAGCAGACATCAAGCGCCGTCCTGGGTATGGCGATAAATTACATCCGCGTTCAGGGTAAGACGATAAAATACGTCGAGCAGCAAGGCCTTTGATCAGGAGGTTTTGAGGAGCGAGGAACCACCTCTGAATTGCTGGTGTTCCCAGGTCCAACTTGACACGGGGTGGTAGCACCTGTTAGGGTCCCAGCAATGGGTAAATAGCTAACACCCAAACTGTGGTGAAAACACTATGAAAGTGAAAGTGTAAGAATTATGTTTTACTACCAGAAATACTTTGAAAAAAGAATATTACCAGCAATAAATGTTTGAGGAAACGTTATTACCAGCAGTACATTTTAGAAACAAAAAATATATCACCAGCAATAAAAATTGTCGGCATTAAATAACTAATTGAGGTTGATATGCCTTAAAACAAACCAGACATCAGGAGTATTTGTCCAGTCAAGCAACGATCGTATGTGTAATACTTAAGGGTCTTTGTGTATTACAGTTCTAGTTGTTCTATGCGGCACTTGTTTCATAAATGCATGTGCATTTAGTGGGCATTTTCATTTGTGTCAGCAGTGCTCGTATGATGATTGGAAGATGATTGTGCGAGTGAAAGAATTTAGTTTACACCGGGTTTTTTTTTGTAGATAGATATAACTTATATTATTAAAATATGGAAATGATCAATGTTCGCTATATTAATACAAAGTGCATCACGTGAGTTTATTTATTGTAAAATAAATATCAGAATTCCTAAGGGGTTTCTACGTAAACAATTATTCTTTTCTAATTAGGGCAGTATTTATTAATAATGCCAGTTTTCTTTGTGTGTTACGAATAAGTTAAAGGGTTGTACCAGCGTAGGTCTCATGTTCGTAGATGCGGAATTTTAGATTTGTAGGTGAGAGGGTCCCCACTAAGCTTTGAACTTACTTTTCTGTTCGTAGAATTTTTAGGTCTCGAGCCCATTTAAACACATTAGACATAAAAATTCCACTTCCCTCAAATACATAGATGGCCCCTTTCTAATATCCTCACAATGAAAGTCTACTAAACATCTTAAGAAAATTTATGGTAGGACAAGCCATTGTTTTTAGACACGAGCATGAAATAAATCTACCTTTTTTTCGACATCTTATTTATATGAAACAAAAAGAAATTTGATTTTAAATTTTGCCGCAAAGAAAAATGTTTTCTAAATTTTTCTGTTTGTTACTACAGTGTAACCCGGATATAAGAGAGTTGTCGGGACCGGAAAAGAAGTCTCTTATATCCGGGTTTGGTCTGTATTAATGTATGCAGAGTCTCTTGTGTGTAATTAGTAATTAGATTAAAAAAAAAACCGACATGATCTTATCATTATAAGCCTTATATTCAGTAGTAGATATCACTATTTATATATAATTAATTACCGTATTTGACAGCATGTGAAGGCGCACTTTTTTTTTTTTTTTTTTACAAAAAACATCTTAAAATCCCTCTTCCTTTTATATGGTACAGTGTAACACGCATTTAAGAAACCGGGATATAAGAGAAACCCGGATATAAGAGACGTCCGGACAACTCTCTTATATCCGGGTTACACTGTATATGTAGGCTTAAAATTCGCGATAGTCGGCCGAAATTAAATGATGTATTATTTAACGACGATGATGGAGGTACTGAAAATGAGTATCAGAGTTTTGATAACAAAGATGTCGAATTTTATGGATTTGAAGATGAATAACATTTCAGTGGTAACTGTACTGTTTTGCTCAATTGTAATAATGGCTTTATTTTAATTTATTTGTTTCGTTTCTTACCTTTGGATATAATAAAAATTTTCTAGGCTCCTGTTTTTTTCCCCCTATTTTTCGTTTAATTGTAATCATGGCTTGTTTAACCAAAATAATACCTCATAAATATAGCCCAGGATACCATTTTTTGTCATTTTACTAATTACTAATTTTTCTTGATTAGCCCTGCTGAAATTGGGGTGCATCTTATATACTCGTGCGTATATATGGTCAAATAGGGTAATTAATATCAGCTCATGCTGAAATCTTTAATTCCTATTCAAGAAAATGTATGTCGCGACAACAGTGTAAAGGCTATGTCTAATTAAACACCATTATATGTAAATATTTATAGCAATAAGAGAAATCATATAGGTAAGATCTCTTCTAAAATCTTTTCACGAAAAGATAATAATTTGGAAGATATAAGAGTTATTTTGCGAAATAAACTTATTAACTTTTAAGCACTACAAGAATTTAGAATATTATTGAGTTGTCTTGGGAACCCAGTGAGGATGAGACTCCCTGTTCAGTCGTAACTGATCTAGCGAAACAAGCTTGCTAACTATTACACCTTATCGATGTGTCCTGGGGTAATTAACTGTCGAGTTTTAACGATATTCAGAGCCGTGTTGAAGGACAGTTAAGAAATCGATACGAGAATATATGTATTTTTGTATCTGTCATATCCCTTCAGGGACTGAAAAAGTGAAGTTCTTCACAACTTTATGTATCTTATTGCACTAAGCGACGAGAAAATTATGGTTAAATGTTATATGTGGCTATGTCATTCATTCACACCAACTTATTAGATAGAGACTCAAGGTTTCTTTCTGCTCTTCCTTACTCCAGTATTCCCTGTGTGTCATGTTTTCTAAGCCTCCTCTTAACATGTCCGATATTTCAAATCTTTCCGATTTTAAGTACAAGTGCACTAATTTTTTTCTTGTTGGATCCTTTTGTAGAATTACATATTTTGCCTCGGATGAAATTGTCTAATTTCTAAAGGCCATATATCAGTTAAGATCCAACGCATTCAACACATGCTTCTAATGTATTTTCCTACGCTTTAAGGCTTACAGCCATATCATGCTGAGACACTGATTCCCGTATGATCACCGAAGTTAAGCAATGTCGAGCCTGGTCAGTACATACATGGGTATCCGCTTGATAATAGTAGGTGTTGAAAGCTCAGATGAACGGATTGGGTAATTGATAATGGCACGGAATTAGGAATCGTATAGATGAATTCCAATACCAGTTTGTTCCCTTACATTCACTTATGCGACAATACTATTGTGAAGTCTTGGAATACACTTTTCACCCTTAGCTATGGGTTAAATACTAAGACATAACTAAAAAAAATATTTTCATTTAAATAAATAAATAAAATTGCTTATAAAATATTTTACCGTATGATTTTCAACCAGAGGTAGATAGGTCGCTAAAGAAAATGAACCAATCAACCTATTTTTTAATACCTTTCTTCTTGGAAAGCGTTTTTCCGTATCCCTTTACTCATTCAGCATTGTATACTATTGATAAAAAAAACGATTGATCAAATATAAGCTGATATTTAAACGATACAGTTGATAATTCCGAAGATTGGCTATGCAATACTAATTTTACTGTGGAATGAATAGTTACAATTTATATCACAAGAGTGCAACATTCAAAGTGTATAAATTCTGAAAAAAAATAATTGCTTCCTACTGCCCAGAATTCAATAGGAAGGACATTTTCAATAATCCCACGAACCACGAGAGAGTGTCGCGCTCAGAGTAGATTATAATCAAAATATAGCAATAAGAAGTTGCACCGAAAACATTGGCCTGAAGAAAGCTGGTATATCAAACGACTGAGACTATGTAAGAACACATGAATTGCATCGAAAACTTCAAAGACTGGCACCGAAAAAAATGAAGTGTGAAAATGAGGTTAAAAGTTCAATATTATTTTTTATCTAAGTTTTAACAGCTAAAATTGTATTTAGGTTATCTTACTATTTTGCAGCTTAAAGCATGAATTACTATCAACAATGATCTCCAGTTTCTGCACTGTCTTGACAGCCATCGCTTACTGGTGTCAGGGACGCCAAGAAGAAACCATGCAAATCTTGTTTTCTATACCTGTTCTTTCTCATTTTCATGTGACGACATTTCCTTTTCACGTTTCTGTCAAGATATTTGAAGAAGAACTTCTATATATAACTTTCATTACACGTTCTACATGTGATTGTTGCCTCGTTTTTAAGAGCCAACTCGTGTATCATTTTTCAATTTCCATCTTTTTCTATGTTTCGTTTTTTGTAGTTTTTTTTTTTTCAACGTACTTGTCATGGGGTCTTCAATTTCGAATTTATTTAGGCATTTCATCCGTCAATATTAAATTCATTCTCACTATTTCTTCGTAAGTGAGCATGTATATTCTGTCTTCTGAGAGGTTTCATATTATCTCGTAACTTTATTCTCTTTTCGAAATAACCAAAACGTACTTCAAATTCTTTTTTATTCACCTAACAATTTCCTCGTAATGAGAGGACAAATAGAAGCATATTTCCCGACGTTTGTTTATTTTTCTTTTTTTAATATTTAGGTTAAATACACCCGCAAGTTGAAGTTTCATTTTTCTTGTGTTACATCAGTGCAAAAAAAACAAAAAAAAAAAAAACGAATAAAAATAATGGCGGAAAGAGGCAAGTTGCTGATGTTAGAAGCAATTGACTTGTTTTTTTGTTTTTTTTTTCACGCAATACACATCGATCAGTGGCAATGAATTTATTTTTTCAGAAACGTATAAAATGTAAATATACAAAGATGTGTGTCACGACTAGTCATAATCAGCACTGAACAAGTTAAATATTAACACAAGCAGAGCCAGACGAGATTGCGATAGAATTTCTCTCGGCCTTAGAAAATTGCCTCACCAGCACGATTACGGGTACGCGAAGCGAAATATGACAGTGGTGACATATTCGAAGAGCTTATTATATCGACCTTCGTAAGGCTGCATAAGAAAACAGACGCCGAAGAATACAAGCTCTATAGGACAAACCACTTAACGTGCCACACACAAAAAAATTAAAAAAAAAAAAAAAAAAAAAAAAAAACGAATTTTGATAAATAAACTTTGAACCCTAATTGGACCTGTAGCAGAAACAAGTTTTTTTCGCAAAACCAAGAGAAGTAGAAATGCAATATTCAAAAATTAATATCGGTTGGAGAGATCAATAGAAACGAATGCCATCTTTTCGCATATTACGCAAAAGAATTTTATAAGCCAGACAGTAAGAACTGTTTAAGTGAAAAGAAAATTTGAGTTATTTGCGAATGATGTTAGAATAATCCCGAATTTATCGGAGAAGCAAACTACGTGCATAATGTTGGAAAATGAGTAAGTAAAGAACGCGCGCCGAGAAAGGGAACGCCACCCGCAAGTAAATAGGATATATGGTCGTCTTGAAGAAAAAGACGCCGAACATGCGAGCTCCGAATTTTAGAAGTCAAAACGAAACAAATACAGATGTTGAAATATCTGCAAAGGCGCATTGGAACAAAAAAAAAAAAATATATATATATATATATATATATATATATATATATATATATATATACTAACCTGAAAAAATCTAAAAGAAATTAGAAGAATTTGTTAGGGCATAAAGAAGAGTGTGGAATTGCTGTGTAATATCACACATCATATACGACAACGAATGCTTGTCAATTTCCTCTAAGAAGGCGTTAGAATATAGATGTGGCTCTAGAGAACAGGATTGAGAATTCCATGCACTGAATATTTGAGTAATGAGAAAATTTATGGAAAATGAAAAGACAAATAACAAATATAGATAACTGAAATTTCTTCGACACATCATGTGAAGAGGACTCGAAAACATGAAACTAACAAGACGTATTGAATGTAAAAATGATAGAACCAACAAGTAAACCACGTTACACTCTTGGGAAAATGTATGGCAGATCACGGAGGTGATAGTAAATATTCAAATATTGCTAAGAGCTATAAGGAAGTTGTGTACAATTATGATCTCTTGCCTCCTGAAGGAACTCAGCCTATTTTTTATTTTTAAAGAAGGAAAAGTTTTTTTTTTATTGATTACTAAGGCAAGTGTGGAGTTTTTATTTATGTATTTTTAAAGCCGTGTGTCTTAAGGTAGTATTTCATTGCTCTCAAAATGTTTCTTTGTATATTTTCTGTGAATTGATATAACTTCCTGGGGATAATAGAGTGGCTTTTTATTTTCGTTTTTTAAAATGCTTCCTCTTTTAACGCCTTCACGAAACAAGGTTGTGAATTCAGTTGATTTATTTTGAAAATAATGATCACCTAGGTTCAAAGCATCCGGTCTCCACAGCTGTTGTTGAAACAAATGTTACAATAAAAAAATAGGACGTACACCTTCTTCGCAGAGCATTAAAGTTAACATAACAGACATGAGCAGAGAATAAACGTGATTAGACAATTGCAGTTTCCTCTTCTGGATGTCTCCATTATTTCCGTTCAACTCATATCTCCAAGGTTTTTTTGTTCACCACTGCTGTCAACTGAAATTGAACTCACGAATCTGGGTCCCGACCTGCGGAATAATTAGGGCACATGTAACTAGAACAATCTACACCGGTGAACGAAAGAAAGGGTTCGACTCGAAATTCCAAACACCTGAAGAAAGCCAAAAGTACGGCGGCTGAAACGTTGCAAATATTGCAATGAAGATGAGGATAGCAACCTGAATAATGTAAATAATTTAAGTAATCATAATACCTTATCTCAGAGATATAAAGAGAAATTGTTTTTGGCACTAATTTTATATTCCGATCTTTAGGTCAATGAATTTTTGGTTGATTTCTCCCGTTCAAATTGCACAGTCTCCTTATTGTATCAAATGCAACTTCAGTGGTACGAGGGTATTCACTCCTTACTTGTCCGACAGTTACTTTTCTATTGACAACCAAGAGTAACAATATTTCCTTCCCACCTCTTGTCTAAATTCTGTAGTTTTTCTGTTTCCATTGCACTTAAAACACTTCCCTTAGTAGCAGATGTCTTTCGGGTGATTTGAACGCCGTTTATCTCACTGACTCGTCTTCCATTTCGAAATCATATCCATCTTTGTTTCAACTAAAATCTTACCCATGATTTTAGTATAATGTCAGCTAATTTGAAACTACAATGGCTTGCCAAGTTTAATAAGATGGAAGAGCTTCTTAGACATTTGTACATTATCATTACTTTCAAATTTCAGTGATTTCATTGACGCAGTATCTTTACATACATACTGGTGTGCAAAGGTTTTGGTCAAACTACATAAAATGATCATACACTTTCGTGTTAAGACGCTTTAGCAGTCTGTTTTTATCAATAGCGACTACAGACCGCGAGGATTCGAACAAGAGATGCTGCAATTTCCTAGTTGTCAGGAAAAAGAAAATATACTATTTTAAATAAATTGTTTATCGTAACACAATTTAGGATATATTCAAGTTTCTGCGATTCATAATTAAGCTTTCCTTTTGAATCACTTTGTAAAGTAAAGCCAATTGTTAACTTCCAGATTCTGTTCAAGTAAACATCAACGATTTTTTTATGTATTTAGTTACAGTAATATTCAATTTCGTTTCACAAGTGCCATATATTTACGCAGGAATTTTCTATGTAAAATAATCAATTTCAATCTCAAACAAGGAAGAGAGACTCGTTGTCATACATGTCTCTTTGATAAATGTCCATACTCTAATATTGTGTGATACCAATTTTACTATCTTCCTAATTTTCCTAGGTTTGGCAAAGTGTTAGCCAGGAGTAAATTTCGCAAGCAATAAATAAGTAAACTTCAAAAAGAACTAGTAATACTTCAGATTGTTTCAGAAGATAATTCTGTGAGCTTTAGCAACATCATGTCAAAATGTTTAGTATAACACGTTTAATAATTTATTACCCCGATTTCAATATAGATGAAAAAAGTTGCTGAGTGGCTAGCTGAAGTTATTGACCTCGAGGGGATATTAAAAATAAAAATATGGCGAACGATTTTGGATATAAAGTGATTAAGGTGCACACGTCTGGAAAGAGGACGTATGTAATTTCATACCAAGATATATATATATATATACACACACACACACACACGAGAGAGAACCAGCTAGTAACAGTCTTTAACGGGCTTGTGGAAAG